AAAGACCTCTTGTGGCCCACAGTTGATTTTTTTTAATCTTCCCTCATTTTCCACTGATATTTTCAGAGGTTTTCAGGGATTAACTAGCTACATGACACGTGGATGCTGATCTTTCATTCTTTGTGGCCCTTGTGGCACCCCGAAATATTTGTTTTGTGGCCCGGCCTCAAAAATTTTTGTGGCTTGTGGCACCTGCTTTTTTCCCTTCCTTCTATGGTGTATTTAAACAAACATCTAAAAAATTTATGTTATGTGTTGTATTTATGTGTTTGTTTGTATGAGTGTGTATTTATTGTAGGTATTTGTATGTTTGTATTTTGTTTGTATATTTTGTGTTTTTTATCAGTAGCATTAAATCTGACTAGAAATTTATTAATAATAAATTAACTCATCATCTGCTTGCTAAGTCGCAGTTCAGTTACAAATTTGGATGTAGTTTCCAAGAAGAGATGAAAGAACACTTTATATTTTATATCTTCGACTTGATCAGTTTGTTTAGATCTGCGTACATATAAGTTTACTTGTTTGTGTGTACGTGTGTGTATGTTTGTTTGTATAGATGTTTTGTATGAGTGCATGCATTTATTTTTTTTATGTATGTATGTATAGATGTTTGTATATATGTTCAAAAATGTTTGTGTGTATATAGATATATATTTGTATATGTTTTTTTGTATGTTTGTAGATAAGTTTGCATATGCATGTGTTCTTATAATATGTCTATATATTATATAAATTTGTATGTTTGTTTGTAAGCTTGTATGTATAGGCATAAATATTTGTGTATATAAGTTTGTATGTTTGTTTGTATGTATGTACGTTTGTATGAGTGTAATTTATCAAAATAAGTCGGTGCTAACGCTATCTATCTTTGTTTCTTATCAAAACAATTGCTGCATTTTATTATATTATATAAAAAGGTGGGGATGAAAATATAATGTAGCATCTTTATGTTGGCGATGCGTGTGTTTGTTTGCGTGTGTCTACAGTGTGTGCATGAGTGTGTGTGTGTTTGTGTGTATTTGTATGTAGGTCCATGCATATTCAAAAATAAGTGTACATAGTTTTATATTCGTGGTTTGTTTTATTGTAGAATGTATCTCTAATTAATATATTTGTATGCGTATATTATACAAGCACACCTAAACAAGTATACAACAATACACATTAGCACATTCATACACACATATACAAACATACGAGAATGATATACACAGAAACACATTCACACACACACACACAAACACACAGACAAACACAAACACATTCACATTCACACACATGCATACAGTAGCACAGGTTTATAATTTATCGTGGCAAGCATAACATGAAACGGAGCAATGAAATAAAGCAATTAACACTACATCTTATCTCGAATCGTCATCTTCGTCGTCGTCGTCGTCGTCGTCATCATCAACATCATCGTCATCATCAACATCATCGTCATCATCATCATCATCGTCGTTATCATCATCGTCATCAAAACCATAAACTGTTTTTGGCAACATATAATAATTTTATACACATCAACGCCTGTATCATCATATATAGTTTTTTTTTTTATTTTTTCTTTATCAATCAAATTGTACACCATACACGTACACATACACACACACACTCATACACATGCACACACACACATACACACGCGCGCGCGCTCATATTTTATATGTTATTATGTTTCATCATTTTCATCAACCAGACTCTATCATTTTATCATCATCGTTATCATCCCTATCTTATCACCACCATCACTACCTCGTCATCACTATCACCACCACCTCATCATCACCATCATCACCATTTTGGGGCGATATTACATTTGTATACAAAGAAACCTTACCCACGGTATGAAATTTTCACCCTTGAGGTAATTTAATTATTCTTTGTTGTTTATTATTCTTTGTTATTTATTTATAAACAACGCGCTTATCAAACATATATAATTTGCAATGATTATTATTTGACAACACAAGCGATTATGAAACATTTTAATGCTTAATAAATTTTTCTCTCCAAAATACTAACTTATAAATTGCTGCAAAAGTATTTCTATTTAATACTGTCTATATTGAAGTTCATGCAGTATATTTTGGTAACGATTTTAATAAGTAAACAAATGGTTTTTACACAACACTAATATTAGTGTGCTGCTACTACTAATACTATTGCTATTACTACTACTACTACTACTACTACTACTACTACTACTACTACTACTACTACTACTACTACTACTACTACTACTACTACTACTACTACTACTACTACTACTACTACTACTACTACTACTACTACTACTACTACTACTACTACTACTACTACTACTACTACTACTACTGCTATTACTACTACTACTACTACTACTACTACTTACAATAGCAGTATTATAGATACTTTAATAGAATTATGATTTGTAGTGAGAATAGTTTTAACGGCAGAGCATAAATTATTACTATTAATTATAGTAGTTGCGGTAGCTTCAGTAGCAGTAGTAGCAGTAGCATTGTAGTAGTATTGATGATTGTATTGTACTGATTTTGAGTTATAGTATTGATAACTGTTGAAGCCGTAGTATTATTATTAAAGTATTACAATTATTACATTTTTTTTTACCAAAATTAATAACTATTACTTCTACTACCTTTTTCAACTCTACTGCTTGCTTCCACACACTGTAACCAGTACCGTCCTTAATATTTCAATCACTTTCAACATTTAATCAAAATATCATAACATGGAACAACTGATAATAAAATTTCTTTGCTTAGGGAGTATTAATATCACAATCACTTTTCATACATAGATTATATGCATGCATATATAGTATAGTATATTTTTGTGTATAGAATATTTGTGTGAGTGTACCTGCATGTATGTGTCGGTTTGTGTGTGTTTGTGTTTGTATGTACGTGTACGTGTAGATCAGTTTGTTTTAAAAAGGCAGAGAAGGAGAGAGAGAGAGAAGGAGAGAGAAGAAAAGAAAGGTAGTGCACGTGTGTGTGCGCGTGTGTTTATATGTGTATATGTGTGTTTATGCGTGTGCGTGTGCGTGTGGTAACATGATATCATAGATAGGGCATGAATTCATCTAAGCAGCATCACAACATGGGCTAAAGTACTGGTCTTCAATTATGATGTCTGATGCTGCTATCATGATGATGAAGAAGATGATAAAGATGAAGAAAAAGAAGAAGAAGGAGAAGATGATGACGATGATGATGATGACGACGATGATGATGAAGATGGTGAAGACGATGATGATGAGGATGACGACGATGATGATAGTGATGATAGTGATGATATAATGTCTTGGCCATGATATCGGAAGTGATTTAATAGAAGTAGGGTAATGAAAAAAATAATGGCAATAAAAATGAAATTATTTAGTATATTAATCATATTAATAACCATATCAATGAATGATATCATGATAACTAAATCAATGATATCAATAACACATTAATGATATCAATAACTATATCAATGGTATCAGCAATCATATTAATGATACCGATAACTATATGTTGTTACTCTTTCTGCAACTTTTTCTCATCAAACCATTTAAAATTCGAAATATTTTTGACATTTCAACCAAATTAGTCACGAGAGGTCAGTCACGTTTGATTTTTTGAGGGTATTTTTTCTATAATAATTTCTATATTTTTCATTTTTCAAATCTTTTTTTTGAGATTTAAATTTTTTACCAACAAAATTATAGTTAATTTCCTGGGTAGGACTAGACACTAGACGTTGTAATAAATAAATTAATAGGTAGATTAATAGTTGCTTCAAGAAAATCACTAATGACACACGATAAGTTTTTGTCTCATCCAACTAAAATCTCATTCATCACACCAACGAACGACGGTCGTGTGAATTATTAACTACGCTATCTTATTTCCGTTGCTACTATAGAATTAAAAGTTTCTTCAACAAAGAGGATAGGCCAACTAGCTAAACAACACCTCATTACTTGAAGATGTCAAATCGAAAACAGACTGTCAAACAGCGCATCTCTGACTAATATTGACTAATGTATTTGACTAAATTGACTAATATACATTATCTCTCAATAAATGAAATGTTCACTTTAATTTTTATAAATGAAATTCTAATTAAATTGTAACACTCACACGCATACAATTACACGGGCAATGCTTAGTTATTTCTTACTTTTTATCTCTCTTTCCTTTCTTTTTTCCTATAAGTTCTCTCTTTATTTTCTCTTTCCTCTTTTCATTTTTTCTCTTATTTCTTCATTTTTTCTCTTATTTCTTCATATTTTTTCATTTTTCTTCATTTTTTCTCTCTGAATCGTTTTTTCTATTCGTTACTTTTTCCAACTCGATTACGTACTTCTACGCAGGTAAAATGACAGCATGATCAAACATGAGATGTTACTCGCGTACACGCGTTATAAACACACAAATACACACACAGAAACACACACACACACACACACACACACACACATATATATATATATATATATATATATATATATATATATATAGAAAGAGAGAGAGAGAGAGAGAGAGAGAGAGAGAGAGAGAGATACACACAGATACAAAAATATTTATGCATAGGTAGGTACTTAATGCCTTCTTATAGAAAACGTAATATTAATCACCACTACTGGCTTAACTCTACTAGCTATATACTAAGCTTCATATTGTTTGGCAGTCAGAATACAAGACACCTTACATTCAAAGCAACATTTCATTTATATATAAACATGTTTAGGCTTAAAAAAAATTATATTTCTGTATATTTTTTTATTAATTTTTAATCCATTATACTGTGTCCTTCAATCATTATGTTTTGCAGTAATTCTGATTAACTGTTTCTTTTATCATCCACTCTTCTCTCTGTCTCTCTCTCTCTCTCTCTCTTATTTTTTCTCTTTTTTAATAAATTAACCGTAGAGTTTAATAAAGTTGCATCAGGCAAGCATTGATTGAGCACATTCAATTGAACGCTGAGCACATTCAATTGAACAGCGTTCGTGACATTAAAATATAATCGTTGTTAGTGATTTCTTTCCGTAAATTATTACTAAATTTAATTACTATAACTAAAATAACTAAATGCGTTATAATTATTTTGTAAGTTTATTAAAAATAGAATACAAACACTGAATACAACCAATGTTGTACCGTATCACTGTTATTTTTGTAACTTTTTTTACTGTTGCGAAATCTTATTGATTTAAATTTAAAAATTAAATAAAATTTAAATCAATAAGATTTAACAAGATTTAAAAGAACGGATTTAAATAATAGTTGAAAAATGGCTAGAGAAATTTTTGAGAAAGTCATCCCTTTAATAGCATGAAATTATTATTATAGGATTAATAGCATGAAATTATAGCCATAGTGATGAACAGGATGGTGACTGAAATGTTGATGACCAGTTTAATGATGGCGTTGATGATTGCAAAGAAATGGAAAACGAAGTCGATGACCAAGTATTTCAAACATTTTCACATTTTCTGCCTAGCAGTGACGAATTGCTTAGGTTCGAATTTTTTCTATAAATTATATCAGTGATTTGATAACCTTTGTTAACAATTTCCAAACATTTCATTATCTATGTAACTGTTACTTTCAACATTTTTATTTTTAAAATTATTTTTCCATTGTTGCAGTTACGTTATTTTCTTAATAAAACATAACTTTACGACGCACCACATCTTATAGATGTATCAGTATATTGAGTTTAATCAATTGAGTCAAATGATTTAGTAGAACCTACATACATTATATATTTGGATTCAGTCTTATTAGCTTTTGGCATGATTTCAAAATATATATTAAAATTGATGTAATGTTTCAGGCTCAATATCAACACCTCAGACGAACTCAGCATTATGCAGTCCAGAAAATTTACTAAGATGTTTGGCATATTTCCCGTTAAATAGCACACTCTTGACATCAGCCGTTCCATACGCCACGCCTGACGAACTCGATCAGTTTTGTGGGTCGGTGACGTTTGATTGATTTTTTTTATGATATTGTTGCGTTTTTCTTGTTTTCTTTTATAATTAATTAATTTACCAAACTTGTCTCGACAGTCGTTTCGAATACTTTGTGAAATGTTACAATTCGATAAGAAGCCAGTGTTTCGACAGCATTCCATTGATAAAGCTGGTTGTCTACGATGGCCAGAGAGATTCTCTCCAATACCTTTGTGTCGACGGAAGGAATGGTTAGTTAGTTAGTTAGTTAGAGGTCGGTTTTAAAGCATGAATGTTAAACGTTGGTTTTGTATATCAAGATTTTTTTGGAGATAGATTGAGACGATTTTAGGCAGTTATATTTTTTAAATTTTTGAAAGAACGAATTAAATGAACAAGTTATTAAGTAATGAATGAACAGATATAGATATTAAACATCAAATGCACTGATAAACAAAATTTAAGTTTAAAAACACCAAAAATTGCGATCATGAAAGAACATACAAAACCATACCACCTTCTATCCAATCCAACAGACTACTTATCGAATCAGGCTTGCTTCGGTGATCCAGGTCTCCAAAATGAATGCCAAACCTGCAAAAAATCTCTGGTCAGCCAAATAGAAAAGGCCGGCCAAATTGAGGACCGCATAAATAGGACAAACAAATATTGCCAGTAATCAATTTCGTTTTACCGCCACATTCCGATTTACCAAGTTTTATATTCTTTAACCTTTTAAGCTTGCTTATTAAACCCGAGTTTCGTTTCATCATTAAAAGGCAAATCTTTTGAATAGTAAAAATATTTTTAACAAAATCAATTTATTTACCGTAAAATGTTTGAAAAATACTTTAAACAAAATCATTTATTTACTGAAAACTTATAAAAAATTTAGGGCGGGAGAGTTATATTTAGGCTGCGTGAACAACAACTTGAAAATTATATGCTCGGAAAAAGCGGCAAACTGGATAATGGAATTTAACAAACGAACCCTCAAACCGTTATTTTCTGCCATCATGTGTCCTGGATGGGGTATGCTTCGGATCTATCTAATTTACTCAAGTTCAATTAAAAAAAACACATTCTGTTGAAAATTGATTTACAGATTTAATTTACTTTTATACAGAATTCACAACCACAAAAACTGAAACAGGTATTTTAGTTTTAATTTTTATTAGAACAATGTTAGCTTAAATTTAATAACATTAATTTAAAATTGAACAGCCAACAGCAGATTGGACATCATACTCGGAGTCTGCCTCACGTTTTTCTGCCTGATAATCCTCATCTTGATGGTCGTAGCGATCGTTTATTGCTTAAAAACAAAAAGCTACGTATACCTTTACTTTTTTGTTTGGCACTTCAAGCAACGAGACCGTGCGACCAACCCTCCTCCCTATCTTCCAACAATTTCTCACGACGTCGAGCGCAGGCCGACATACAGTACAGACACTGCCGAAAGTTGCTTCAAAAGTGATTTTGACACCAGTAGCACACACTCTGGCAGTTACTTCACCGATGAAAAAATAGATGGCGATGATAAAATTGCGGACCTTCAAGCGACATGTAAAAGCAGAACATCAACCCCAGTCAATCCGCAAACCTCTCCCGTTAATTCCAAACCTTTTTCTATCTGTCGACTTTTTAGAAACAGGCACAGCTTATCAGACTCCGGTTTCAGTGGAGCGATTAGCAGCCTTGGCGGCAACTCGATTGACAGCAGTGGCGGAATCACAGTTGTTAATAATACGAACGGTAGTCGAGACCACACACTCAACTCAAACAACAGCAAAGAGAGTAATAGTTCAAATCCAAACACGAGTTGCAACAGCACACCATCAGTTCTTTTTGAGCGACCAGTTGTCAACCCATTCACCAGGTTGATGTCCAACCCCGAAATTCCAACAATCGACCCGTGTGCCGTCGTCGATGGATACTACTGCTGAACTTTATTCATCTGCTCGTCTTGTATATTTAGGAAGTATTTGGTGAATTAATTTGTTCGTTTTGTTTAACATTTGAATTTTTTTTAAATATCTATGAAGTGACAAAAACATTTAATAATGTGATACGTCATTTTTATGATATTGCTTAGATTGTTTAATCACATAAATGGAATATTCAAAGAAATGGATAGATTGTCATATGACAACTTTTTTATAAATTAAACTTGTAAATGCATAAATATTGCTTCGTTGAAAAGTCTCAAAAATCAAAATTTAATAGTAGAGTACGACTTATTTTCTGTTCAAAGCAGCTAAGTTGGCCGGGCCTCCACATAAATTTTGAAAAATATCCGTTTCTTTAGCATTTAAATGTTCAACAGATTTTGAATCGCTTTTTGAAGCATTCACTGCTACTCTTTTCATTGCCTTGATAACTTCAGAAGGAAATTTCAAATACTTTGTCAGAAAAGACGTAGTTGCTTCTAAAGGATCATCAGACTCTCCAAATATTTCGTCAGCTAAGCCGATTTTTTGAGCATCTATGCCGCTGATGACTCTAGCAGACGTTAACAATTGCAACGCTTTTGACCTTCCGAGTAAATGCACCAACCGTACGCTTCCACCCCAGCCGGTTGAAAGACCCATTTGTGCCTCCAAAAATCCAATGCGGGCACTTGAATGAACTACTCTGAAATCACAACATGTCATCAACTCTGCTCCACCGCCCACAGCAAATCCTTCAACTAAAGCAACAGTAATTAATGGTAAATTTGATAATCTTGTCGTGGCATTTTGCATAAACGATGACATGAGGCTGGGATTGTCAGAATCTTTTTCCTTCGCAAGAGCTCTCACAAAATTTAAATCTCCTCCAGAACAAAATGTATTGCCACATCCTTTTACAATTAGCCCTTTGCCTGTTTCCCATTTTTCCAATTCTTCTATTCTTTCTTCGAATTCTAAATGCATGGAACCTATGCGTGTAAAAATGCTTTAAAAAAATCAAATATGCTACAGAACTGCTTATAAATTTGAAATCGGAAAGTCAAAACGTTAGCGATATATTTTAATACTTTGTCGTCGCGAGACCAGCCAGAACATTTATTAGTATCCTAAATATTTTAAATTTTACTTAGTTAAAAGAACAAACAAGTGGGTAACTCAACTAACCAGTGATGGCATTCTTCTTTTTTGGATTATTTAAAGTCATCAACGCAATGCCCGTTTTTTCGTTTACCTCCAGGTCAACAGACCCGCCGCGATGTTTTCTCAGCAAGTCAATTTGTCTTCGACGCAAGTCAGAGCAGATCGAGAACGAGACGTGGGATAAAGACCTTTGCATCTGCAAACCTGTAGATGCACAAAGTTTTAAAAAGTTTATTAATGTAAATTTTATACCAAACTTTTTTAAGCACTTTTATTAATAAATAAAAGGAAAAGCTAATGATCGTGAATGGCATGTCATGCCATAAGAGCCACAACAATTTAAGTAACTGAAAAAGAACTGACACAATCATTTAGATGAATTCGAAATTCATTTTTAAAAAATGAGAAAATGAATGGTAACGCACTAACCAAATATAAAATAATGCTGAAAGCATTATTTCATTTCGAACCTAAAAATTACGTTTTTTTCATAATGAACTTCAGCAACAAATAACAACAAACAAGCAACAAAAACAAGGAACGTTTAAAAAGTTCATCTACAAACTTCTTAACCCATGTCGATTTGATAGTTTGTAAAAGTGAAATATTTTTCAAAGCAATTAAACGATTACAACTTAATTAATGAAATGTAATTAAAAATTATAATAAGTGAAATATAATATTTTCCAAAGCAATTTAACGATTACAATGTAATTAATGAAATGTGATTAAAGATTGTATGCGCGCCGACACGATACGAGTGCTTTGGTATAAGTGGAATGTCGTTGAACCTCTAACACGAGGATATTTCAAGGCATTTGTAAGAGGGGTAACAAAACAACAACTCCGAAATTTTAACTCATAGTTTTTACCCAACCAACCAAAATGACTCGAACGAAAAAGGTCTCACCCATATATATAGAATACATTCTATATATATGGTCTCACCAGTTTATCGACTATTCACATAATAATGAGTCAAACAGCTTCGGCGAGTTTGGCGCCAAATTTTACAAGCATTACTGATTTTTAGCGAAATTTAATTTTCTTCTATACCGTTTGTGCGAAACTTCAGTTCGAACTAATTAAATGTTTGATTGTTTCAGATGATGTCTCGTGCACATCTTAACAACAAAAAGACAAAAAGACAGAAAGGGCTTAGCTTTCAAATGAATAAGTTAAGTCGGCTTGAAACTTCATTGAAAAGTATTTTTAATTAAAATCACATGATAGTTTCCACTTAAAAAAGACCTTTAAAAAGAGTAGCACAGTGAAAAATTTGGTTTTTATAAGATTTTGTCGTTTCACATAGAAACTTTAAATGAATTTTTTTCATATTTTTTGTTATTGCTTTATTGCGTTATAACATCACATACAAAAATATATTACGTTATAAAAGTTTTTTTTAAACAAACTAGCGTTTAAAATTTTGACTTCTTATTCAATGCTTCTAAATTAGCTAGACCCCCACATAAACTTTGAAAAATTTGTGTCTCTTTAGTATTTAAAGTTTCAACAGACTGCATATCACTTCTTGATGCATTGATGACAACTCTTTTCATTGCCTTAATCACGTCAGGTGCAAATTTTGTATAATTCGTCAAAAAAGATGTAGCAGTTTCTAAAGAATCGTCGAATTCTCCGAAAATTTCATCAGCTAGACCAATTTCTTGAGCCTCAAAACCTTTGATGATACTGGCAGATGATAACAACTGTAATGCTTTTAATCTTCCTAATAAATTTACCAGTCTAACACCTCCACCCCAACCTGGAGACAATCCCATCCTGGCTTGCACGAATCCGATGTTGGCACTTGAACTGACCACTCTGAAATCACAACAAGTTACCAATTCTGCTCCACCTCCTAAAGCTGCTCCCTCAACTAAAGCAACAGTGATCAAAGGCAAATTAAAAAATCTGGAGGTTATATTTTGCATGAATGAAGACATGAGGCTTGGATGTCCGGAATCTTTTCCCTCGCCAACAGCTCTTGCAACATTCAAATCAGCTCCAGAACAAAATGTGTTTCCTGATCCTTTGAAGATTACTCCACGACCTTTTTCCCAACTTTCTAAATCCTCAACTCTTTTTTCAAAGTCTATCATCATGGAACCTTAAATAGAAAAATGAATGAATTTTCAGCTTTCTAAGAGCTGGAAAAATTTTTATTTTGTATTGCATTATTTTATTAGCATGCACGTTACTAAAGTAATCGATTTGATAGCATCATTCTCACTATAAGCACTTATATAAGATTGTGTGCATTTGACTTGAAATAGTGAAAAAACAGTTCTGATTTGTATACAATTTTGATTTTACACTTAACAACAAGTTAAACGCTAACCAGTAAGAGCATTTTTCTTTGTAGGATTATTTAACGTTAAAACTGCAATTCCAGTTTTGTCATTCTTCTCCAAGTCAACACATCCACCAGGGTATTTTGACAGCAAGTCAATCTGTTTCTGACGAAGTTCAGAGTTCAAGGCTGATGATAGAGTTAGTAATCTTTTTGTTGTCTCATCTGGACCTGATGTACGAAAAAATAATTCACATTCTCTCTAAAAAGCAAAGTGAAGTGTAAAAGTAAGTAGTAAGCGTGAGTTAAGTAGTACATATTATAAAAACAAAAGTTAGTCAATAAAATTTATTGACAAACTCTTGTTTTTTTATTGAATAAACACTCATTTAATTTTTAATAAATAATTAATTTGTTAATGAATTTGAAAATCAAATAATAATGATTAGTAATAAAATAAAATAAAGAAAAGTAAACACAAACAACGCACGATGTTTAGAGAATGAATACCTCTTTTAATGAGAAAAGATCTGATCAACGCATGTCGAAGGCTGGCCATTTAAAAAAACTTGGTTAAAATAAAAAGAAACATACAAACATGTACTGCGTTGAGTGAACTTCAACTTGACCTAATAAGTAAGGACTTTACAGCATGATTGAGAAGTTCATCAATATTTAATGTTGAAATATTTTATTAAAAGTAATAAAATGATGAAATTGAAAAAAACTATGTTTTTTATAATTTATCCATTATTTATACGTCATTTCTTAGACAATCTTTATTGAAAATCTTTAGAGTTAACAATTTATAACATCTCTGGGTTTTACACGTGGTTTTGTATTTCAATTGCCTCGTTTCAAATTTACACCAACTTAAATTTATGCCATTAGCTTAATATGCTTAAATTAAGTTGTTTTTAAAGCAACTTTTGACGTGATTTAAATAAAATGCGTCAACCTATTTGAAGAAATTAATTGTAGTTATAAAAAGATTTTTTCCATGAATTAATCTGATAGTTTGGGTTTCCATAAATTCGATTTTGACTCATTTGTTTATTTTATGTTCATAATGTGCCGATTTTTCCTTCAAACCGCTGGTTGAGAAATAGGTTTCTGTGGAGTTTTCCACTAAAAACCTAATTTTTCTCAATTGGGGTTTACAAAAAATTTATTTGTTTTTATATATGCTTTTCAAATAAGTTAAAAGCAGAAAAATAAAATTCCAACATGGCTGAAGCTGCTGTGGAATTCCCTTCAGTGCCCAATTATTTCTGCCATCGGTGTGCACGATCCGTGAAGATAAACCCAACAACTGTAATTATTTATGTTTTAGAAATATTTGTAATTATTTTATTTCATTAAATTAATTTGGTACTGGATCTTTCCGATCAGCTGTTCTGCTTTTGTAGTAAGAGTAAGGAAATTCTAGTAGTAACTGGTAGTAGCTTTATCTATCTGCCCAGTCCAAGCCAACGTAGCCACCTACAAGATCACTGGCAAACGTATCCAAGAGTTCTGGGTTCAAAACCCACTCAAGCTGGACTCATTTTTCACGCCATGTTGTTTTGGAATTGTTTATTTTTATTTACTTTTGTAGTTTATTAAAGAGCCTAATTTTTTATTTCACTAATTTGAAAAATAAATGTTAAAAGTTGAAATCAAACAAAACATGAATAAGTACATTTTCATTTACGTGTTTCCCTGTGTAGGTCCTTACATGTCCTCATTGTGAGAGTGAATTCATAGAAGAATTGACACAGTCAGTTAAATAAGTTGATTAGTTAAATAAATAATTATTCCTGGTTTTTGTTTAAGTTAGGTAATTTTACAAGTATTTATTTTTATTATTAATATATTTTTTTATATTTCCATCTTTAGTTTTTTGGCATTTTATTGTTTATTTATGTTTTTCAATTATAGTTTTGATAATCATTTTAATCATCGTTATAATAAAATTAATATTTAGCACTTGAACTTAAAAGATAACTCATTTAGTTCATATCTAGAAGAGCATAATGCCATAATGCTTTGTGTATATAGATTTTATATATCTACAATATGACTTCTTAATTTTATTGAATAAACCTTTTTGTAAGTTAAATATTTTTTTTATAAATATAAAGAAAATTGTTAAGAACTTAAGATAACCCCACATGTATATAAACTTAGCATTGTTATGGGCATTAACATTGCACTATGAGATGATCCAACATCTAAAAAGTTGATGTATATTTTGTGACATGATTTTCATTGTTATTAATTTTACCTGCTTGGATAATCTAAAAGGGAATTAGAAGAAAATGATCGAGCTAGGAATAATTCTGTAAGACATTTTCACAATTTTGAATAATTTTTTGAATAGTTTTAACATTTTTATGAAATTTATTAAAAATATTGTTTAATTATTTTAAGAGGTACTTGATTAAATTCCATTGAAAGTTTGAAATTTTCACGTCTGCATTTTAATTTTACAATTCCCAATGTTTTTAAAGATATCCACTTTCAAACAGCAGCAAAAATTTAAATAAGAATGCAGCAAAAATACACATCCCTGTTGCAGAGATTGACAGCTTCCCCGATGGATGTAGCCACATTACTTTCCAACATCTTTGCCAGTGTCACACCAGATGAAGACTACCCATTCCCTAGATCGAGAAACACTAACAACAGCAGCAACAACAATCGAACTGCAGCAGATGATGCTGATGATGAGGAGGATAAAGATGATGAAGATGAAGAAGAGGATGAAGAGGAACAGGAAGAAGTTGAGGAGATGGGAGAGAGAATCAACAGGAGGTTGTGGGTGGGCCCATATCGTCTTCCACGCCCCGTGAGGAGGAGGAACCAGGAATCAAGACCCCCACCTAGGTTGATTTTCTCAGTTTTTGTAGTCATTTGGGGATCGTTTTTCATTCAACAATTTGATAAATTACCAAATAACCAGTTATAATGGAAAAAAACTTTTTCCCTTTGTTGTTTTTTCATAAAACTTTTCAAATGTAGTCTATATTTCAGTTTCAACATTAATATCTCATATTTGTGCAATATGTGCATTCAAGTATTTGTGAAGATCGGTGGAGGATCTTGTGAGCAGTATTGTTACTAAAAGTAAAAAAAAACTCAGTTTTATACAGGAAAAACGTTATTTTTTGTAGAAAAACAGCCAAAGATTAATGTAATAAGCAAAAAAATTCAATGTCACCAGCCTAATTTTATCTACACTAACTTTTCATCAAATTTTAAACATTTTAAAACCTTTGGCCCCCTGTCAAAGCTGTCTAGATCTGCCTCTGATGAAAACTTCTTAGAAATTGAAATATTAGTTTCTAAGTTTTTCACTAAATTACTTTTTAGCAGGTTGTTAAAGTTAAATATTTTGTACTGATTTGAAAAAAATTTTTTCCTTCCATTAGGTTTTTAGGAAACATGCTGCTTGGGAGATATCCTAACTTTTCTGACCTGTTTGCATTATCGTTAGTTGCTTGTTATTAAGTAATTAACGATTGATGATTATTTTTTTGTTAATTAACGACTATTATATTGTCAATTAGTCACTAATTAATTTATTAATTTATTAATTAGTCGGTCAATTAGTGATTTTTCTTAACAGAAGCCAGGAATTTAGATCAAATCCGAGAGATTATGCCTGGGGATCTGATGGCTTGGATAACATCATCACACAAGTAACTCACTTCTATTGTAATTTTTATATATTTTTTAATTTTTTACCAATTTCATTTATTCATTTGTACCTATTTTAATCTGTCCATATTTATTTTATTAATTAATTTATCTGTAAAAATAATAAGGGCAAATTCATTTGTTGTACTGAAAAAAATGACACCATAAAAATTGAACTACTGGTTAATTTCAAAGCTCCTTTTCTAGTAGATTTACCCCACAATTTGTAAACAAACACCTAAACAAACAAATAAACATATATGTGTGCCTGACTAAGTTGTGATATAATTTATAATAGTGTAGTAATAAAATAAGTATAATTTGTAATATGATAATAATAGTAGAGTTTTCATTTTCAAGATGTGAGTGGGTGTGGCGTATATATGTGTGCGTGTGTGTATATGTGTGTACGGTTGTGTATACGCGTATGTATGTACGTTGGGTGTGTATATGTGCGTATGTATGTTGGGTGTGTATATGTGTGTGCGTGTGCATGCGCGCTATTATTATTTGTCTCTATTAAAATTTATTAAACAATGAAAATCTAATGCTAACATCTTGAATAGGGAAAATTATGACAATGTAATTACAATGATAATAATGAATACTTATATTTACTTGATATTAAGTAACTATAAAGGAGTATTTTACTTGCTTATAACATGGCATGTGATGTTTAGTACAGGAAACCAAAGTTATGACTAATACATGGTGTTGTTGTTGTTATTATTATTATTATGATTATTTTTTTATTATTGCCAGTTGTTGAACCAGATGGAGAACAGCGGGCCAGCCCCGGCCAAAAAAGAGGACATAGATAATCTTCCCGATGTTCTAGTGTCTGCCACACAAATTGGTTGGGCATTCGTTAACTTTTCTTTGTTTGTTTGCTTCTTTGTTTGTTGGCTTGTTCGTTCGTTTGCTTCTTTGTTTGTGGGGATGGTGGCGACCATGATGTTAATGACATCATGATCACAAAAATGGTATGAAGGTGATAGTTATGGCGTGTTAGTGATGGTATAAAGATGATGATCATTACATGATAATATAATTTTGATGATAATATAATTATGATGATGGGTGTGATGATTGTGATGATTATCACCAATGATAATGGTGATGATGATAAAGTTTTAAAAAGAAAATTTTATTCAAGTAGTTCTTGAAGATAAAACAACGTCCTACCTCGGGAAATCGGGTCTCTGGACGCAAAACGAAGATTGATTGATGATTGATTCTTGAAGATGAATGACGATTACTATATTTCTACTAGATTTGTCATTCAACAGTTTAGAGTTAATATTCAAAGACATTAATTTAAGGCTTTTTCCCCCGTGTAATTTTTGTGTTTTAAGGGGTTACTATTTTTTATGAATTGCATATGAATGCTTTCTAACTCTTATTAGATGCAACTGATTCTGTGTTTGTTGGTTTTTTGTTTTATTTATCTCTAGAACATCGCCTATCAGTGACTATATATAGTGTGTGTGTGTGTGTGTGTACAGGGGCTGATGCGGCATTTATAGAGAAAAAAATTGCTGTTGGTTATTCATGCGATTTCGTAATGGTCATCTCAAACGACGTCATTGTCATCACCATCATCATATGATCATCACGAGCAGCATCATCATCACCATCATCATATGATCACACAAACAGCATCATCGTCATCATATGGTCCTCACAAATGGAATCATTGCTATAATAATTTCAGATTTATTTGCTCAGTGTAGTGTTTGCATGGACTACTTCATTGTGGAGGAGAGAGTGAAGGAGCTGCCGTGCCACCACTTCTACCATGAAGATTGCATCGTACCATGGCTCAAAATGGTCGGCTCACTGGTTTTTTTTTTTTTTTTGTTCTTATTATCATTATTTTCATGTGGATGTTGTGGATATTGTTGTGTGCCATGTTGTGTGCTCAGTACTAAACACTGTGATTGACTGACTGACATTCAACACCACTACCAGCACGGGACCTGCCCCATCTGTAGGTACTCCATCTCTCCTGACGAGTCTCCCAAGAAAACCGAAACCAGCAGCAACAACAGCACCAGCAACAACGAAAACAGCATGGACAACACTCGCAACAGCCCGCGACCGTCTAGAGCAAGGTTATTGCGATACCCGCAATCGTCATCATCTTCTTCATCGTGGTCCCCTATCTTTACTGCCCTGCGACTTCGACCGCCAGCAGATCATCAGCACTTTTCTGCTTCACCTACATACAGCCCGCCAGGTAACAACGGCAACAACAACATCATCAGTAGCAACAACAACATCACCAGCAACAACAACATCATCAGCAGCAACAACAACAACAGTAGCAGCAGCAACAACAGCAGCGACAATACAGTGAGACGGATGGTTGAGGAGATGTTCCGAGATGACAATCTGCATCGCATCATGCCCATGGAACTCGATACTCAGAGGAGAACTCGTTTTGACGGGGAAGATGATGATTACGAGTTCGACACTGTCTACAGCTCCAACATACCGAATCTTGATTTTATCACCGAAGATAACGACGACGACGAGCGTGATCGATCGACAGTTAGCGAGAGCAACGCCAGCAGTAGCAACAAAAATAACTCACGTCACGTCAGTAATGCTGATGCAGATGCAAACGGCGATGGACAGCGGAATAGATCGTCTGGTTCAAACAATTTCAGGTTCTTCAATCCATTCTCCAGGAGCAGAAGATCATCACAAAGAAACAACATCAGCAACAATGACAACAACACAGCTCGAAATAGCAACAACAACGACAACAGTAACACAATAAATAACGCTGATAATAGTGTAGGCAAAAGAAATTTGAGCAAAAACGGAAAAAGATAAAACAATTTCTGTTATTTTTCGTACATAAATTCTATTACTGTCTCTGTATTGCTATAAACACACATGTACACACACACACACACACATATATATATATATATATATATAT